TTATGAAAAGCTGAAGCTTGTCTCGGCTGATCTTGCTGGAAGCCAAAGATATGTCCTTGAATATTTTCTTTAATGAAGGATATACCAATGTCAAACCAGTAGCAGGAAACAAAAGAATAGAGTCAAGCTGCTGAGCCAATGTTCATTAGAAAACTTTCCTAGCATAGGAAGCTAAGGGAAACGTTTTTTTTTCAACTGAAAATGCATATAACTAGCAGCCACGTGTCTTGTAATCGTGTTTAGGGCGAACAGTGGAGGCAGCTTTAAGGGGACGCCTTTTTCTAATACCTATCGCGAATGAGCTGAAAAACAAAAACAAACGGAAGGTGGTTGGTAGTATCGCGCAGAGTTAATCAATCTTGGCAGACATTTGCTTTCAAATGGCAATTTAGTGAAAATTTCTGTTTCACAACCTACCTTCGCAACCCACCTTGAACGCCTTTCGACCACTCTATCCATTATTCGACGGGCCGGCATGCAGCTCAATTCCTTCAAGTGCAACGTCGGTCTTCGTCAGATTATCGTATAGTGGTTAGTACCTTGCGTTGTGGCGGAGGTGCTGGGTACTTCCCTGCCTTCATCACGAAGCTCCGCAACGGCCGCATTATCATAGGTCCAACCATGTCACAGGTTGAACAACCATCGTCTTCACCACCTCCCCTTTCCGCGACTTCTACATGCGTAGTTCTACCTTCTGCTCGTGATCTCGGTGTATTTTCCTGTCATAATGGCGTTGACGTCGACAAATTGGTCAAACGGTACGAATGGGTCAGCACAAGCTATAGGTGGGACCCGACTCTTATGCTTGCCAATGTGCTTTTTTTACCTCGATGGTCCACCGCGGGTGTGGTTCGAGACGCACGAAGCGGATATTACCAGCTGAGACTTCTTTAAAGAGAGGATCCGCGGCCTTTTTGGCGACACCGTTGGGTGGCAGATCGCAGTGCGCAATCAACTGGCGGCTCGTGCACAGACGTCAATGGAGTCGTACGTCGCGTACATTCACGACGTCATCGCCCTATGCCGCCACATTGACGAGCACATGAGTGAGTCTGAGAAAGTGGTCCATGAGCTGAAAAGCATAGCAGACGGCACCTTTAATCTTCTAGTGTACAACAACGTTGCCATGGTCGACGCCATCATTAAAGAGTGCCGGCGGTTCGAAGAAGCCAAGAGCCGCCGTATTACTCAGCGATTCACCCGGCCGCCCAACACGGCCACAACGTCATCGTATGAAGCCGCCCGCCAGTGCCCCACGTATGACAACGTCACGCGCATTGTTCGTCGGGAAATCGAAGCCGCCTGTCCGGCTCCTCTTCAGCCACCCGTTTTCGCAACCCTCACCTCTCACCAACAACAGTCGTCAGAGGCGGTAATACAAGCTGTGGTGAGGCAAGAGTTTGCGAACCTCGGCCTTCCATCAGCATGTCCCTTGACTCGCCCTGAAGTCCCGTCTTATTCCTTAGGACACACTCGCCGTTTACCTCCAACAATGCCCTTCCGTAACCCTTCAGAATGGCGAACACCCAATGACCGACCTATTCGTTTTTCCTGCCACCAGCCTGGGCACGTTTCTCACTATTGCTACTGCCGTTGGTCAAACCAACCACGTCAGACCTTCTCTACTTCTGCGGACATACACCCGACGATCGCTCGATGTTCAGCCGCCACACCCTTCAATTTCAATTTGTCGTCATCTTACGAGCCTCCCACTGACGCCCCATTGCCCGGTCGCCGCTACACTGACACCCGCCTCTTCGTCCGGTTGCCGCCGCTCCCGCTCCCCGTCACCGCTACGTCACCAATCTCGTTCTCCGCCGCCTCAGCGCTTTTCCTAGCAGAGCTTCTCTGGACGATCGCGGCAGGAAAACTAGATATCGCAGCTTATAGAGGTGAAGTTGCAATACCAATGACAGAATCCTTTACTGAGGCTTCCCACGCACTGCAGCCTGCTTGAAGTACAAGTCGACCATGCTCCTGTGACCGCCGTCATCGACACAGGTGCGCACCGGCCTATTATAAGCGCTTCTCTACGCCGCCGCTTGCAAAATATTATGACACTGTCCACGACGCAGGCAATACGTGTTGCCGATGGCGGTACTGTACCAGTAATCGGAATGTGCACTGCTCGTGTCAGCATTGCCGGTCGTCATGCCATGGTCCTTTTTGCCGTGCTAGCATGTTGCCCTCATGACCTCATACTTGGCCTTGATTTCCTTTCGACACACTCGGTCTTAATTGACTGTTCGTCAGGTACCCTCAGCCTCGATCTTCCTATTTTTGCCGAGTACTCTGCAAAGCCCACCAGCCGCTTGAGTCCAACCACTTTCGTTCACCTGCCACCTCGTGCCGTCACGTAGTGTCTTTGTCATTGGCTCTTCCCCTTCCTGATGGTGATTATATCTTTACGTCGATTACTGACGTTCGGCTGACGCGCAGTGTTACTCTGCCCCATACCATCGCGACCATAGCGGATAACTGTGTTTTCCTTCTGCTCCTTAACTTTGGTTTCACCCCTCAAGTGTTGCCCTGCCAGATGTCTCTAGCCCAGCTAACTGCCATAACAGAGGACAATGTCAGTGTTATCGCTGTATCTGCTCCTAATCGAAGCGCAGTCTCACGGTCAGCCAGCTCAGACGATGCTATTTTTTAAAACATGATTGGATCGGAGCTTTCGCCTCACCAGGCCGACGCTCTCTGCCAGGTTTTGACCTCATACAGTGACATTTTTGACATCGACGACCATCTCTTGGGCCAGGCTAAAATTGTCACTCACCGAATCAACACTGGTGACTCAGCGCCCAATTACCGTCGGCCGTACCGCGTGTCAGCGTCCGAGTGAGAAGTGATTCAAAATGAAGTGGCCAAAATGCTTACCAAAAACGTGTTCGAACCATCATCGAGCCCTTGGGCATCTCCTGTGATGTTAGTAAAGAAGAAAGACGGCTCATGGCGTTTCTGCGTTGTTTATCGCCACCTGAACAAAATTAACAAAAGAAGACGTCTACCCTCTACCACGCATTAACGATGCCCTCGATTGCCTCCATGGCGCCACCTTCTTTTCATCTCTCGACCTCCGATCTGGCTACTGGGGAATTGCTGTAGATGACATGGACCGAAAAAAGACCGCCTTCGTAACCCCTGACGGTCTTTACCAACTCAAGGTCATGCCCTTCGGTCTTCGCAATGCTCCAGCGACCTTCGAGAGAATGATTGACACGCTCCTACAAGGATTTAAATGGTCGACATGTTTGTGTTACCTGGACGACGTGATCATTTTCTCACACCCCGCATCTCCACCACAAAGATGTTACGTAAAAATGACACGAGGCGTGTCTATTCAGAATCTATATTCACATTGATGCGTATAGCATTGACTAAGATGGAGGACAGCACGCACAACGGACAGACCACTTTCTCGTTGTCGTCTCCTGACCGCTGATATGTCACCTACGTAGCAATATAAACGGGTATACTTATGTAGAGTAAATATTGCGGTAGTGGCTCAGAAAGCATAATTTCACGAGCCAACATCTATGTAGACCACTCGTAGCTCTCGCAGCCTTCAAGATACTTCAAATTAGGAGCATTTCTTAGTCGCACGATGTCCCAACCAACCTCACCCCTCTGCGACGCATTTACTTGATTGATTTATATGTGGGGTTTAATATTCCAAAACGGCCATATGTTTATGAGAGAAGCAACGCATTCACACGAGTTTCTCCCTTGGGAAAATACAGGTGGTTTTTATATATATCATCTGTTTCTCTGTATATAGAGCTGCAATAGGCGATAATTATCCATTGTGTAAATGGTATCTCCGCATCATGTACGCTGTTTTTTTATTGTATGTGACCCCAAGTCTAGGTGACTGGTGACGTTTGTTCTAAACTCACTCGCCTTGGTGTATTTTTACGAAAACCAGCAGAAAATAAAGACAAGTAAAATTCAAGGAACGTTCATCGTACTCTTTTAGACGAATCGTAATTATTGTAATAGAGACGTGAAGGAAGTAAAGTAGACAAAAAACAATTGCCACTGGCAGGGTACGAATTTGCGACCTTCTGATAATGTACCCAATACTCTTAACAACTGAGCTACAGCGACGGTCGTCACCTCGTCCAATTACAGGATATTTCTGTGCATCTGAAAACTGCGAATGTTACTTAGCATGGTATTCGCTTTCATGACTAAGAGAGGCGCTGAATACCACAGTGTAAAAGTGGTCCTATTCCCCCACTTCACACACACACACACACACCACACACACGTATATATATATATATAATCTATATATATTATATATATATATATAATATATATATATATATATATGATATATATATAATATGCTCGAAGGTCGTAGGTTCGATTCCTGCTCACGGCTGGTTATTTTTCATCCACTTTTCTTTTTTCTTAATTACATTCCATTGGTTCTAATAATAACTTCCCTGTACATTCCTTGGCATACTGTCTGTTAGATCTTCTTTAATAGTGTGTTAAAACCGGAAAAACGAGCCCTTAAGTATACACTTCTTTCCCATATATATATATATATATATATATATATATATATATATATATATATATATATATATATATATATATATATATATATATATATATATATATATATATATATATATATATATATGCTCTCCGAACGCGATGCTCGCCGAACAATGCTCTCCGAACGTGTTATTCGAAGGTCGTAGGTTCCATTCCTGCTCACGGCAAGTTATTTTTTCACCCACTTTTCTTTCTTCTTATTTACATTCCATTGGTTCTAATAACTTTCCCTATACATTCCTTGTTATTATTGCCTCTTAGATCTCATTAATAATGTGTCAAATTTAAACCTTACTTAGCTTCCTTATCTGACGGTTTTGTTTTTCTTAAGGTAATGTTCAACAAGAAAAAAAGACCTTACAAATTTTCTTCCTTCATTCCCTTTGCGTGTGACATTTCCTGAAGCCGTTAAAACTTTTGCACAAACATAGTCAAGTTTTCAAACGTTATGTTTAATAGCTTGCTTCTGTTGTACCGCTCAAGCATTTTTTATATTCTTGAGAAGGTAACGGAGGCACTTGTCTGCTTCCACAGTAGCTTCTCCCAGGAGCTTTCGATGTGACTTTTGCTGAAAAAACACAAAAAAGCAGATCTGACTGTAGAATAGCGTGCAGTGTGATATACGTCGTTTAGTGACCTCGTCTGTGGCATAATTTCTTGAGCATTTTATTTGCTTTTTGAGAGCGTGTCACATATCGCTCAGGAAAGAAGTTATTTTCATTCATGTATGCCTAAAAAAACACGCATGCAAAAAAAAAAAAGCTATGTTAGAAAAGAAAAACATGCTAAAAAGAAGTAATCAAACGAAAAACAAAGAATAATATACGGCGAAGAAAAATGTACACAATAAAGTTTGTTCAACTGATTTTGTCGTTAAAGAACAATCGTTGCGCTTTGAGCGTACACCTTCTTTAACTCTATGCTTTCGGTGCTGTACGTCAGGTCACAAGCAACATGTGCTCACGGCGTGACGTAGTGTTCCTGAGGGAGCTGGAGCGGCGGTGAATAATTGAAGGCAGGAAATGCTCGAAGGGTAGGTCACGAAAGAGACACACTGAGTCGCGACAGACGTAGATTTTTTTTTTTATGAGAGTGTTGAGCTTAACGGGTCAACATAGTTCGCAGCTTCTTAGTGTTCCTACCGTACATCACAGCGCGGTGTAATTTAGGCACCTTTTATTAGTCCCGGTTCATTGACAACTTAACGAAAATGATGATACGCGCTATCGCAACCACTAGCAATTTTCCAGAGTTCCGCAAGAACGTTATATTGGGGAGAATTCACCGAATCACATCCTGCTATTTGGTCCGGCAAAGACGATCAAGTACCATGACCTTGAGGCACGGCGTAACTCCTTTTTAGTTTTTTCTATGAGCTTCTGCTCTATGACATCAACAACATTAAAAGCACGATGATGCCAGCAAGATGTTTCACCGAAAGTATATCTGAGTGAAATCTGAGTGAGTGTTAGTGAGTCCAAGTGATTTCTGTGGTCTGAGTGAATCTGAGTAAAGCGTGCCGGCTGCTTATGCAGGAGTTTTGACATATTGCAGTGAAATAAGCGGTTCTCGCGTACGTTTTCTAACGTGCATACAAAACTATTCACGTGGCACTTGCATTCTGACGATAAAAACTATGGTTTAACTATAGAATCGACGTCCACATTCTGATCAGCTCCGATGAACAAAGCTGTGCACGCCTTGCGTTCACTTCAATAGCATACGTCTATGACGCACTATGTGTTTATTTTGTATAAGTTATTATTGTATTTATGGCACATTGATCATGCTGCCGTTTATACGCGTGTATACTCACCTGGAAGTGCGACCTGAGCTTGATCACCTCGTACTAGAAAAGAAGACGAGTGTTATGATCAAGGCGACAAATCGGACACGTTGATTTCTTAACAAACGTTACCAAAAATATTGTTTTTTCATACAAGCCATGCTTTAGTCTCTCAAAAGACATATTTAGAACACAACTACAATGGCTGCGTTGGAGAGAGTAACATTTCTTGGGTTATATGCCACGTTTTCATTGCACTTTAAGCACAAAAACAGTTTATATAGGCTTTATACCAATGATTAGGACTGTTTTCATTCGCAACAATCGTGCGCAGTTTATAGAAAGAGCCCGCTGCACATGTTCTTTCAACAGGACCTCGTTGCGACTATTTGAAGTGTTCCAAGACAGACACTGGTAAAGCTGAGTAAATAGAATAAAAAAAAGAGGAGGAAGGTTGGCCATTCTCCCAAACACCCGCACACGAATGAACGAAGTTGTCACAAGCCAAAACCATCACTATGAATATGAGGCACACCGTGACCCTATTGAAAATCCTGGGTTGGTGGATGCTGCAATCGTTGGTGGATATGGTGGAAAGAATAGTGGATATGGTGGAAATATTAGTGGATATGGTGGAAATTGTAGTGGGCATAATGGCTGATGGTGGCGATAGTGGAAAAAATGGTGGCAGATGGTGGTGGTGGTGGCGGGCCAGTGGTGGCGACGGTGGAAAATGTTGGCTGATGATGGCTAGAGGGGAAAAAATGGTGGCAGATGGTGGTGGTGGTGGCGAGCCAAAGGTGGTGACGGGGAAAATACCGGCTCATGGTGGCGAGGCAAAACGTGTTTGGTGGAAGGCTTGGTGAGCAAGGTGGATGACGGTGGCATGATGAAAAGCACATGAGAGTATACATGGGAAATCGCTTATTTGTAGTGTTTTATTTTTGAATGCGCAGAGATATATGTTTACAGTCAAAAGAAACCAACGCTGCTCATGCTTTCTAGTACATTCTTTTATTCCTGCGGTGTCAAAAACGCTTCAATTTTTGTGGAGCATAGGATATGCGACTGGGAATATGTTTACATTTTGCGCATGTACTTACATCAGTTTGACATGTGCGATGGGTTCCATTGTTGTGATGTTTAGAAGAGTACAATTCTCACTGTGAACATGACAATAAATGTTTTACATCGGCGAGCAGTTGTCCGCAAATAAATGGGCTCCAGTTCGCAATTGCCTTTTTCGATGTTAGAGCAGAACACAGCGGTCACTTGATGTCACCACGCTAGAAACGCAACTCTGGTTGGTAATTCTTGCACACTCATTTGCTTGAGCCGTACCTTTAAGTTAACAAAGTGCGTGCGAATATGCATAAACTTTCACTTTCGACATGCGTCGAAATGAGCCCCAGCGAATTTGACTTTCACCCTTCTGTTCTACCGCCATGATTTCCACCAAAGGTTAGTCATACCGACCGAGCCCGTACAAGTGTTATTGGCGCTTCTGGGTTTCAGAATACACAATTTCGACGAGTAAAAATGTCAATACAGCACAGCTGCGGCGTCATTTACCCTAATTGAAGCCTTTTTTATTGTGTACGGTGTCTGCGCAAGAAGCGACAAACATCGATGCGACGCGCTTGCAGCACTTCTACCAAAGGTACTCCTCGCCTCACCGACAGCCGCCGGTCGCACTCACCGGCGCTTCGCTGGCTTGGCTCTTATGCGAGAACATAGAAACGTCAATTCGTATGCTTACTGAACCAATATGATAGCATAACGTCTCTGGCGCACTGCATTCGTTTTTGGTCAAGCCGTTATGTAGCTGTTCCTAACGACAGAGCAACAGCGGTGCGCTGGCACGACTGCGGTGTGCGTTGCGCGAAAAACATCAAAATGAATTGTGTGGGCTTATCTATCGAATGAGCATAGAAGCGTTATAAAGCCTGAACTGATATCGCCCCATGGAAGGAGCGAGAAATGGATAATAATCTTGGCAGTAACCGCCAATAAACTCTACCTGCTCCTCAGTCCACTGAGTTGTTTTTTTCCTTGCGGTTGTAAATTGCAACAAAAACATAGCGCTGTTGCCATTATCGCAGTGGCAATCGTTACAGGCAGCAGTTGTTCGTGTTTATCAATAGTGCAAATATTAGTAGCAGGTGCAGATCTCGTCCCACCCAAGCAAACGACAAACAGAACTGAAGCTAAACAGGGACTTTGAGGTTGACTATTCCTTTAACACCCGCACCGCCATCTATTAGGGTTGCGCAGTGGTTAGTGTACTCAGCTAAAAATTCAGAGGTGCCAGGTTCAATCCCGTGCTGGCGCGTGTTTTTTCTACGGGTCCTTGCTACATTCTTTTTTATACAATTATTTTTCTTATTTATTTAGCGGCAGCTCATCACTGTGGTTCTCAGGCTGCTTCGCGCTCTAGCATTGCCGGCTGGAGCGCGCCATCCACCATCCGCTCCACCATAGCCACCATACACCATGTGCCACCATTTCCACCGCCATAATCCACCAAAATAGTGGATGGTGGAAGCCACCATTCCTATGGTGGGCGTTTTTTCAATAGGGGACTCAAGGATTAATTTTGGCTGCATGATGTATACAATGACGTTAATAACAATTTGTTTTAACTTGAAAAAAAAAAAAAAAACATGCCTGTCAGGTCTCTTGGTATGACATTTTGGCTGCGCTAACTTAGTGCGCAGTGGCGGGCCGGCACAAAGAAAACGGCTTGTGGTCGCATGTTTTTTGAGTACGTGTACGTTTAGTTAAATTCTGCCTAGAGTAATTTTCCTTGTGGTAAGTTGCCCTAATATAAATGCAGCTGTTAGCAATGATTTGGCTTCAGCTTTATGTTCTGTTTTTTATATGCGAAGCATTTTTCATCCATCCATCCATCCATCCATCCATCCATCCATCCATCCATCCATCCATCCATCCATCCATCCATCCATCCATCCATCCATCCATCCATCCATCCGTTCATCCATCCGTCTGTCCATCCATCCGCCCGCCCGTCCGTCCGTCCATTCATTCATCTCTCCCTCCCCTCCCTCCCTCCCTCCCTCCCTCCCTCCCTCCCTCCTTCCCTCCCTCCCTGCCTCCATCCATCCATCCATCCATCCATCCATCCATCCATCCATCCATCCATCCATCCATCCATCCATCCATCCATCCATTCGTCCATCCGTCCGTCCGTCCGCATACCACGGGCCACGGTAGGCTGGTGTGCACCACAAGTGATTGGCAGTTTATATCCGTTCCCGAGTGCCGAGGACAGACATTAGTAACTGAAACGTGAGAGTGTGAAGGAAAATGAACATCGGCAGCGGAGAGCCCCGCGAACGCAATTATATAAAATAAAGATTAATATCTCAGCAAGAATCTCACCCAAACGTTCTGCGTGGCAATAAGACATTCTACTGCAGAGCCACACCAAGCATTTAAACTGCTTTGGAAAAAAACACTATGCAGAGGTAAGCTTGGCGAAACTTCAATTGTTGCTGTTGTGCTATCCTATTTTACAACAAAGCACTAAACATTGCATAAGTAAACGTACGAACCAGACGTCTTTTCAGGTTAACGTTAATTGTACTTCCAATGTGGGCTCTACATTTACGGCAATCTAATAAACATTATACATTTGTATATTTATGATTCACTACAAGCTGTATATTCAAACGTTGTTTGACTGGGGGCAGTACGCTAACGAATGTCACGGTGTGATATTCACATCTTGACACGTAAAGCGCACTTCGTTTCGATAATACAAAAGTCTGTCCGCGAACGTGAATGTTGCTGTCATGCCAGACCATAGGTTATGCACTGTTATAGTCACCAGTAGATGCCAGCGTAATGGGTCTTCCTGCCAATAGCATGGGTCCCAACAACTACATGTAGCACCGATTCACCTCATTATATGCTTGCCTCAAAGACCCCCCTCCCCTAAACAAAAAAAGCTGCATAAACAGTTGCTTCACATGAAGCCAATGTTCGCGACGTGTGGGATCTGCCGAATTTCTTCGCTTCTGTTTTAACTTTTTTTGTTGCCCCGTGGTGTAACACCGAAACACCCCAGGCCAGGCGACCAAAGAAGCCAGGCCATGCTAGAGTGCATGGCGTAGTGTGGTTTGCATTGTTACATCATAAAATTCAACATTTTCATGAATACTATCTAATTTTCGTCCTCCCTCTACTGCTAGTTTTTCTGTAGCACTTCGCATCTATGTCACTTGTATTCTACTTCGAACAATTTTCGCTGTGTATAAAACCCTCAAGGTTTATTCGTAAGTGTATTTTTAGTACGCGTTACATTCGCAGAACCCAGTAGATTGTTTCACTCATTTTTACTGGTACAAGGAAACAACATAAAAAAATCAAACGGCGTAATTTACATATAAGCTTGCAGTTTTAAGTATTGCTTTCTTAGTTTTCTTTTGCTATTGTTGGTAGAATCACGGGACAAGTGCCATGTATCTTGTTCGGTTCTTTCGTCATTTTCTTGCTGTAAAGACTCACAGCTTTGCCGCACAGGCGACGCAAAGAACGTGATAGCAACAAATTGGAAGGTCACGTGCAGAATGAAAAGCAGATCGAAATGTGCCCCGCGTTTCTTACGCACAAATGACGCACAAAACGTACTCACACGTACATATGCACGCGAATAACCGTCTCAGTTGTTACTTCGCTGCGTCTGAAAAGCGCGCGCTTTCAGCAAACGGAGACTGCAATGATTGCAGTGACCTTTGCGCTCCTGGTAACTACAACAGAATCGTTCCAAGTAAAGCCAGAGGCCAGCCAAGATGTACGATACTCCCCTCGTGCCCACCGCGAGATAAGGGCACGTGAGGTAGCGTCGCTCCCCTCCTCTAAGCGGGGCAAAGTACGCATGGGAGATTAGAGCGCGCGCCACCGCACAAAGTGGCGACGTGCGCTCATTACTCCATCTTTCTGGTAATGGCGAAAACAAGATAATTCCCCCTTCCCCACTTTGCCCGTCCGCAGCGGTAGGTGGTAGATATAAATAGCTTGCCGTTGGAACCACCAAGCACATGCTCATCGGTGGCTCAGTTGTTAACGCCTATCACTCACGATTGAGAGGACCCAAGTTCGATTCCGCGTGCCGGGGAATTTTTCTGGGTTTTTTGTTTTTCTTGCATTTCATATATATAGACATGTATACATATACGATTAGTGACGGTGACGCCGACGTCGACGCTGATGCCGGCGGCAAAATCCAGCCGAGAGTGTCCATGAAATTGCTATCACAATAAAACCTATATCCACATTACTGCAACATGCAGCTACTCCATCTTGAGAAAGCTCTCTCCACGAATGAAAAGTTGAAAAATGAATGAAAGCATAACACATTCTTTTTATCAAAACCCCTCCGCAAACTACAAACAGAAAATTATATCTGATGTAAGCCCCAGTAGGCAAAGTGCATTTTTTCAATATTATCGACCATCCGCGTCTCGCAGGACACTAATGAAGTTGTTTCAATCAACTGATGTTGATTAAAATAGGAGAACAAATCACGTAAGAGAACGAAGATGACAGGACGAACGAACACTAACAAACCAAGAAGCACAAACCATGGCTTGTGCTCCTTGCTCGGTACGTAAGGAAAAACGTCAAGTTGATTTGACCAGTGGTTTTAATGCAAGTTATGCGCGTAAATTGCACCTGAAGTACGTTCAGGGTGCTTTGTGAAAGCAGAGCGGATAGTGCGAAAAAATTAAATCTGACAAAAAAGCGATAATGATATACTGGGAGTAAAAAGTATTAAAAGAAGAGTGTACCCCTGCTTTAGAGAGAAAAATTGTCCTACGCACCAAACATACCTGAGGTGATCGTATGTCGCCATAACAGTTCGTCACTTTTTCTCTACAAGGTTAAAATATTTCTACGAATAGACGCCAGTTTTATGATCTCAGTTTGCGTATAAACAATGTGCATGGCCGAACTGTGCTATGTCGCACCGTTTCAAATTGGTGTACTTACCGGACTGCACAACGCCCGAGCAAAATCTTCTACTCGCCACCCTCTTTTTTTGAGGATATGGTGCATTAGGTGCTGCACCTAGAGAATGAGAGACGAAGAATATTTAATTAGATTGATTGATATGTGGGGTTTAACGTCCCAAAACCACCATATGATTATGAGAGACGCCGTAGTGGAGGGCTCCGGAAATTTCGACCACCTGGGGTTCTTTAACGTGCACCCAAATCTGAGCACACGGGCCTACAACATTTCCGCCTCCATCGGAAATGCAGCCGCCGCAGCCGGGATTTGAACCCGCGACCTGCGGGTCAGCAGCCGAGTACCTTAGCCACTAGACCACCGCGGCGGGGCAATATTTAATTAGAGAAGCGCGCGTTGTGGGGCTCTAGTTGGTACGACATAATATTCAAACTTAAACTGTGCTTGGCACGGGGCTCCAAGGAAGATGACAGGACGAACGAACACTAACAACTACGTTCATCCCGTCTGCATCTTCTGTGGAGTCCCATGATAAGCACAGTTTAAGATTCAATATTAATAAGTTCGGTAAAGAACTTATGAGTACTGAAAAATGCACCATTTGTAAAGACGCTATTGTAAATAGGCTAAAAATCCATGCCACTTTACACTTAGTAAGCATTTGTTGCGCTTCTCGTTGCGTCAGCCCTCCGCAGTTAACTCGGTCAACGCTGTGCCTGTATTGCTGTCATTGGGAATGATGCGCGATAAGAAAAACGCATGTGTGAATCTTAAATCAGCTACTACATGATGCGTAATAATGCACCGTCAAAGAGTATAGAGACGGCCATAATCAGCATTTGCAAATATTTAATGAGTCATTCGATTGGAGTGTGATCCATAGTAGCAGCAGTAGCAGAAAGAACAAGAATATGAAGTTGCAGCAAAGATTTTTTACTAGGCAAATGTCAGATATCGCGTCAGCATTATTTGTAACACCATTATTTTACCAAGAAATGGCTACACTATGCAACACAAGTCCACGTTAGTTAGCATTATTCAATGATACCTGGCGTAAGTCGCCATTTACTGAACATCCTGTACAGTATAAATACTTGTTTGAGAATTGTGTGGCTTACTTTGTAACTCTGGTGACTGCATAGTGTATGATACCTGGATGCGGCAAACGTATGATACTGCTTTTCTCTGCTATAATGCGAGATTGTGACATATACTTTCATGCTGCACCATGTATTTTTCTGAACCATGAGTCATTGTTTCATGGACGAATGGACGTACTTGTACGCCTGAGGAAAGCGAACTTCAGAATGCCCACGCTTTGAAATATGGCGTTATGCCCGTTGTTCGTAACGACAGATGTAAGTCGTAAATATCAAACAAAATGGCGTGGCAAATGACATCGAAAGGAATTTACCTTGGGGCTCCTATCTCAACAAACGGAATTGGAGAAACATTTTGATGAAGTTTTTTGCATTTAAAAAGAAAAAAATCTTAAGCCTGTAAGACGTTGAGTTTTTTATTTAAGTTATAAATTAGTGTTCGTTCAGAAAAAGAAAAAAAGGGAAGCTAATAAGTTAATGCTCTTTCATCAGCAATAATGAAAGATACCGCGATTGTGTAAATATATCCTAAGTGAACAAAATTGGCGTCTTATACAGCACCCAAAGTACCTGTAAATATATGCGCCTGTGATTTTGTTTCTCAAATTTCTCACAAACATTGTAACTGGTTTTTGTCATCTCTAAATTTACATAAATAAGACCGTTTTAGATGTTGTAAATAGGTGCAGTTTACACAATCGTGATGTCGCTTTTCGATGTAAAGCAATGGGTATATGTATAATTCGATCTTCTATTTTTGAAACGTGCCTGCTTATGGCTGTTAAGAAAAAATGAAAAAGTTTTCAATCTACATTTCCGCTTCATATTTTGTTAGTGTAATATTGAAATTTCTTTATTGCAACACATTTGATTTGAATTATTCAGGAGTTACCTCATGAAAGCATCTGACCCTTTTACTTTTATTTAAAGAGAACGTTTGATGTGCGCGTGATGCATTGAAATCACTGGTGTGTGTGTGTGTGTGATGTGCGATACAAGAAGATGACGAGGACATACAAGAATATATGACCGTGACGTGCAGTAGCGTAGCCAGAGGGGAGGGTTGGAAGGGTGCAACCTTCTCTCCCCCGCCCGAAATATTTTACGCACCACCCCCGCCATCTGCCCGTCTTTTTTCGTCACATCACTCTGACACAATTTACAAAGTAAGCGGTGCTACTATTCCAATATAATTCCAGTACGCTTTTAAAGTGAATGTTGCCTCCATGCGGAAAAATGTGTCGCAGTGTTTGTGAAGGCTTTGCAACTCTGAAATTTTGGGCAGGAATCTCGGCCGTGAACGTTTTCAGCTGGCTCGGCGATGGGAAAAAATGCTGCAGGGGTGGTCATAATTGTACCCACCAGCACACATCTCATCGGAGTTGCTAGCCTAATTATCATTATACAGAGGTTCGTTTTTATAGTGAAAGCCAGACACAGTTCAGAGGTCTGAGGAGCCACGTTGAGGAATATTAAAGTGTGACTCCTTGAACGTGCAATAACATATACTCAAGAGAGAGACTAACATTTCTACTGAACCTCCACACACGTTCTGCTAACAACTAAACAAACACACACACACAAACACACACAGACACACAGACACACACACACACACACACACACACACACACACACACACACACACACACACACACACACACACACACACACACACACACACACACACACACACACACACACACACACACACACACGCGCGCGCGCGCGCGCGCGCACGCGAAACAAATATTTGGCTTAATTATCCAACGAACTTTGCTTGTATGCCTAGTGCACAATATTCGATACATCTTATCTTTGCCATGCCCTAACTGCTAAAGGCGCTTCGAAGTGCTGTCTAGTGAGAAGGTGCAACACAGGCCAACGTGCAGGCCAATCACAACCTTAGAAAGGCCTACTAAATTACTCATCATGTAACCTGAGCTTCGGAATAAAAAGATGGTCGTAAACCTAAAACAGCATAATGAGAAACGTAGTGTGGGCAGTTGTAGTGACCAAAAGCTTGGTTGTTCAGCAGGGTGGCAAACAGTGTAAGAATAAGAAACCTGAAGCCGAAAATATACACGACGAAATGAAAAATATTTATACTGATTCGCTAAATCTTTTCGTCCCTTTACAATGACATGACCAGAAGGGTACACGAAGCGATTTCTGCAACTGGCGACAGAACGCACAGCAAGAAATGCACAGAATAAAATAACATAGGTGGACATGTTATCATGTAAAATTAAGAACAATATACATGGTATCCACAATTTTTAGAAGATATAAAATAAGCTCTGTGCAAGAATTGTTTCACGTAGCAGAGAGACACATGGCACAGTGGAATAATATTGATCATCTTGTTCAATTGACATAAAGATTTTCGTGCTCTATACAAGTCATATTATATGCCACAAACGTTACCCAAAACTTACAAGAACTGTTACATGCAAACTTGGGTTGTTGCATTGCCATTCACATCTTCCCTATCCGCGAACCACGTCTGCAAGTGAAAGGTGCCACCGAAAAGCAAGGACTAGGCAACGGGTGAGAACAGAATCGCTTTGTCATGGTACAAAATTGATTTTCAACAATATACCTCACTCAGTTGAACTTGCGCCTTTATGCTGAATGAAAAATAGCGCATAGGAATTTTACCCAAACCATCTTTTTTACTACCCGCCATGGTGGTCTAGTTAACTCACAGCCCTCAGTTCCCAGCGGCTGCGAAGCAGCTCACCACGGTGGCAGTCAGATCTGTAATGCAACAGAGGGTGCTCAGAATCTCTGGGTCCGGACAGGCCGTCTTTGGAACCTTAACTTAGCAACGTTTAACGCTGCAATTTTATCTAGTAAGGCAGTGTAGCTGTATTATTCGAAGAGTTAGAGGGTGTTAAATGGGATTTAATTGGGCTCAGTGAGGTTAGAAGGAGATATGAGGCTTTACAGTGCTACAGATTGGACACGTCCTTTGCTATCGTGGCTTGGCTGACAGAAGAGAACTGGGCGTGGGGTTCCTTATCCACAAAAATATAGCTGGTAACAGAGGATTACTATAGCATTTGTGAAAGGGTGGTAGTTGTCGTAATTAAACTCAGTAAGAGATAATAGAAGGTGGTGGTATGGACTTACGCGCCTACATCCAGCCATGATGATGCATTAGTTGAAAGCTTCTATGAACATGTAGAATCGCTAATGAGTAAGGTAAAAACACAGTATACTATACTGACGGGTGACTTCAATGCCAAAAAATAGGAAAAAAGCTGGCTGGAGACCGGGCAGTAGGAAGTTATGGCATCGGTACCATAAAAGCTAGAGGGGAGTTGTTAGTAGAATTCGCCAAACGCAATAACTTACGGGTCCTAAATAGCCTATACCGAAGACGAGGGAACCGTAAGTGGACATGAAGGAGCCGTAATGGCGAAAGTAAGAAAGAAATAAACTTTATACTAAGTGCAACCGAAGGCATCGTGCAGGTTCTGGAAGTGCTTGGCAAGGTATGACGCAGTGACCATAGAATGATATGGTCTTGAGTTCGCCTCGACTTGAAGAAGGAACGACCGAAACTGATACCCAAGAATATAATCAATGAGCTAGCACTGAGAGGAAAAGTACAGGAATTCAGAGTCTCGCTTCAGAACAGGTACTCGGCTCTTATCAAGGAAGCCAGCTTTATCAATGACGCAATCAATGGTAATCTTATCAGTATCATTACAGAGTGTACAGTGGAAGTTGGAGGTATGGTAGTGAGGAAGACCATTGGCAAGGTGTTCCAGGAGACGAAGAACCTCATTAAAAAGCTTCAAAGCATGAAAGTCTCAAATACAGCACACAAAATAGAATTGGCAGAGATTTCAAAGTTGAATGATAAGCGTAAGGCATCCGATGTAAAAAGGTATACCATGGGAAATATTGAACACACTCTGAAAAATAGAGGCAGCGTCAAAGCAGTGAAGAGCAAACTTGGGAAGGGCAAAAACCAGATGTATGCACTAA